TTGACCCTCCTTTGGCAGCAATAACCTCAACCAAAAAATTTCCTGTAGTTGCAGATCAGACCTGCACAATATCTGGAGTAATTTTGGACCACTCCTCTTCACAAAACTGTTTCAGTGTAGCAATATTCTTGGGATGTCTGGTGTGAATCGCTCTCTTAAGGTCATGCCACAGCATTTTAATCGGGTTGAGGTCAGGACTCTGACTGGGCCACTCCAGAAGGCGTATTCTGTGCTGTTGCAGCCATTGTTTTGTTGAATTACTTGTATGCTTTGGGTCATTGTCCTGTTGCATCACCCATCCTCTGCGGAGCTTCAGTTGGCGGACAGATGGTCGTACGTTTTCCTGCAAAATGTCTTGATAAACTCTGGAATTCATTTTCCCATCAATGACAACAATCCGTCCAGGCCCTGAGGCAGCAAAGCAGCCCCAAACCATGATGCTCCCTCCGCCATAATTTACAGTGAGGATGAGGTTTTGATGTTGGTGTGCTGTGCCTTTTTTTCTCCACACATAGTGTTTTGTGTTCTTCCCAAACAACTCAGTCTTGGTTTCATCTGTCCACAGTATATATTTTGCCAGTAGTGCTGTGGAACATCCAGGTGCTCTTTTGCAAACTTCAAATGTTCTGCAATATTCTTTTTGGACAGCAATGGCTTCCTCCGTGGTGTCCTCCCATGTACTCCATTCTTGTTTAATGTTTTTCTTATTGTAGATTTGTCAACAAAAATGTTAGCATGTGCCAGAGATTTCTGTAGGTCTTTAGCTGACACTCTGGGATTCTTCTTTACCTTATGCAGCATTCTGCACTGTGCTTTTGCATTCATTTTTAAAGGACGACCACGCCTAGGGAGAGTAGCAACAGTGCTAAACTTTCTCCATTTGTAGACAGTCTGTCTTACCGTGGACACATGAACATCAAGGCTTTTGGAGATACTTTTGTAACCCTTTCCAGCTTCATGCAAGTCAACAGTTCTTTATCGTAGGTCTTCTGAGAGCTCTTTTCTGTGAGGCATGGTTCACATCAGACAGTGCTTCTTGAAACCAGTAAACCCAAAACAGGTGTGTGTGTGTTTTTAAGGGCAGGACAGCTGTCAGCAACACATGCAATATCATCACACTGATTGGAGTCAAGGTTGGCTCACTCCTGGCTCCAATTAGCTCTGGGAGAAGTCATTAAGCTAGGGCCTCACATACTTTTTCCTCCCTGCACTGTGAATGTTTACATGTTATGTGCAATTAAACCATGGCAACATCTAATGTTTTGTGTAGTATTATGTTCAGCAGACTGTGTTCTTCTATTGTTGTGATTTAGATGATGTTCAGAGCACATTTTATGCCCAATTCATGCAAAACTCCACGTAATCCCAAGGGGTTCACATACTTTTTCTTGCAACTGTATGTAAGGGGTGGGGCCATCCCATATGTGACCCCGCCCCATGTGACATCAGTAACCAGCATACCCTGGGTGATGATGTCACAGGGGGCGGGGTCACACAGATGATGTCACCAGGTGGCCCCGCCCCTTACATATTTGAGAACTGTCAAACCAGGTCAGAGGCAGATGTCAGAAGCGGAGCCATTTTTTTTCCGGATCGGCAGCGGCGGGCATCGTGATTGACATTGGATTTACTTCGGGGGACATAGAATGACTCTTGTCTTTTTTCACACTACAGATTTTTTTTTGTGAATGGGTAGCGGTACCATGTACCCCATACTCATTCACGTGGGGGGGCGGGATCTGGGGGCCCCCTTGCTAAAGGGTTGTGGGGAAGAGGCCCTTGTCCCATCAACATGGGGACAAGGTGCTTTGGGGGGGAGCTCCTCCTACCCCAAAGCACCCCCCCATGTTGAGGGCATGTAGCCTGGTATGGTTCAGGAGGGGGGGCTTTTAATTGCCAGCAATTCTTTCTCTTACATTCAGCTGTCATGCCAGACCCGAAGGGCTTGGTATGGATGGGAGGGGGGGACCCCACGCCATTTTTTTAATTTTTTTTTAATTGCCGGAAAGTCTTTCTCTTACATTCAGTTGTCAGTGGGAATCCCACTGACAGCTGAAACATTAATGCATGCTTTTTACACTACTAAAATACCGCATAAAATAACTAATGCGGTATTTTAGTAGCTTTTTTTAGTGAATTTACTATTTTTCAGTGCATTCTGGGCATTTGAGGTTACCTGTTTAAAACGCTTCTAAACGTAATCATGCATAAACACGGCTAAATGAGGTATGCAAACATGGCTAAACTGATGTTTTTTAACCTTCCCTTTCCAGCAGTCAATTTCCATCGTTCAGAAGAGTTTTCCAAATGCCCTGTGTACATGAGCCCTTAGACCAAACAAAAGGTAACATTTATATTTTTACTTTCCTACGACTATCAATAACACTGTACAAACCTTACTGCTTTACCCAATGATAGACAGTGTGAAAAAAGTAAGTAAAAACAAAACCAACACTGAAAATGAAAAAAAAAAAAAACATTTACAGGAGTTACTTTGCTTCAGTTTCTTGTACTCTGCAAGCAGATATGCACATTCATGGTTCACTGAAAGGTATTTTAAATGACAGCACTGACATCTATTGGTATGTTCACACAAAGCTATCTGCGCAGCAAAATACCTGACCTTTGTATTACCCTGCTTTGTGCTCTATTCTGTTGCATTACACAACAGAACTAGTAACAACATTCATAGTGTAGTAAATAAAATTTAACCAGGGTTAATTTAAATAAATTTTAACCGAGGTTAAAAACAAATGCATATACGTAAACAATAACAGCAAATTTTAGAAATTTCTTCCTTCCAAGCTGGAGTGCAAGCACGTGAGTGGCGAAGTCATCTGATGGAGGATGGCATCATCATTCTGGGCACATGCACATGTACACTCACTAAATATATATTTTTTTTATACACGCTGCTTGTCAGTGTTCTGTGAAGTATATGGGTGTTTTACCTACTTATTTTCAATCAACTTAATTGTGATATTATAAAAGTTTCTATTTTGTGAGGATCTAAGAGGATAAAGAAGCCTACTTCATACAACTTTTATTTATGACAAGCCGTTATACCAGTAATTCTAAACCAGGGTTCCAAGGAAACTTGAGGTTCCTCAAGAGGTTGCTAGGGGTTCCTTGAGCTGTAGCTGATTGACCTCCTATTTGATGAAATTCTCGGGCCAACACTACTTGGCACGGCCAGAGGATTGACACCAATGGTGGTTTTAGCTGTCTGAAAGGATGACATTCCGAACAGCACTGTAAGGAGTGCAGTTTTACCACAGACAGCCAACGTGAGGGCAATTTTTATTTTCAACTGATGCCTGAAATTTTTTTTAGAAGGGGTTCCCCAAGACCTGAAAATTATTTTAAGGGTTCTTCTGGGGTAAAAAAAAACATTTAAAAGGGCTTAGTTATACTACAGAGAATCAATTCTGAGGAATGTGGAGAATGATAATATGTGAAACGCTTTAGTATATCAGAAGTTGCTAACATCCGGTGAGTTTGACATTCACAAAGCTGGTGACAAAAAGCTGGATCTCGACAAGAAATTCTTAAAAATAGTAATGTTGTATACTATAGGATTGATAAGGATGCAATTTAATGCTGATGGACTAATAATTATTACTGATATTGGTATTATATTTTTGTATTTTTGGTGGATCTGTTATATTGTTTTTGAGCATATATACTGTGTATATTGGAAACAAAGATGTACCATATTTTACAGCCACATTCTGTACCAGACACTTACTTCCAGAGAGAATGTTGAGGAAGCAGGGGAAAAATTCAACAAGCTCTCCAGTGGCTACATGGAGAATTATCTTGGACCTCTTTAGTTCTCAGTTTCTGCTTCAAGAACAATCAATATGTCACCTCCTTCTCCAGTCTCCGCTGGAGCCAGTTAGAAGTTTCCCTGTAATACTTTCAAACAAAACCACTGCAGCAGCTGCCAAATGTCTGACAATGACCTACTGACCTTATTCCAGAGAATTTTTTAATTAGAATTAATGGCCACTGTCAGGGACTGCCAGGACCTCTCCCATCCCCCGCCATATCCCTCCACCCCTCCCTCCCCCCTTGCACATTCCGATGTCTGTGGAGCTTCCATGGACAGGGCTGGGCCGGCTGTTGCTGAGGCAACCTAGCCGTGTCCCACATGGTTTTCAAAAGACCCACACAGGAAGCAGCCCTCCTCTCTTTGTTCCTGTCCATGCTGCTGGAATCATCTTGCTCCCAGAAAGATGCTGGGAGGCTCGGGTGAGGGGGACTGAGCCTCCCCAGCCATCCCCCCTGCGCACTCTGCAGACCCACAAAAGGTCAGGACTGTAGCCCTCTGCAATACCCCAGGGTTGGGAGTCTCCACAGCTCTGCATGAGCCTTCTCCTCAAAGGTCAGACCCCACAGCTGAGACCCTGCAAGTCTGTAAGCCTGTCTACTGAGCACCCTTGCACCCTGTCTGCTGCTGAGTGCCCTGGGAGCTGCTGCTGAGGGACCCTGCATGTTGTCCTTGGCTGTGTGTCCCTGGAGGTTGTCTGCTGCTGAGTGCCCTGGGAGCTGCTGCTGAGGGACCCTGCACACTGTCCGTGGCTGCGTGTCCCTGGAGGCTGTCTGCTGCTGAGTGCCCTGGGAGCTGCTGCTGAGGGACCCTGCACACTGTCCGAGGCCGCGGGTCCCCGGAAGCCATCCGCTGCTGAGTGCCCTGAGAGCTGCTGCTGTCTGCTGATCGCTGGTTGTCCCTGAAATGCTGACCGCTGGTTGTCCCTGTCTGGAGCTGCCTGCTGCTGAGGGTCTGCAAGCTGCTTACCGTGAGTGTCCTGAACTGTCCCCCGCTGTGTGCACCGACCACCCGTGTTCTGAACTGTCCTCGCTGTGTGCACCGACCACCCATGTTCTGAACTGTCCCTGTTGTGCGCACTGACCATCTGTGTCCTGAACTGTCCCCGCTGCGTGCACCGACCACCCGTCTTCTGAACTGTCCCCGCTGTGTGCACCGACCACCCGTGTCCTGAACTCTCCCTGTTGTGCGCACTGACCACCTGTGTCCTGAACTGTGCCTGCAGTGTGCACCGACCACCCGTGTTCTGAACTGTCCCCGCTGTGTGCACCGACCACCCGTGTTCTGAACTGTCCCCACTGTGTGCACCGACCACCCGTGTCCTGTACTGTCCCTGTTGTGCGCACTGACCACCTGTGTCCTGAACTGTGCCTGCTGTGTGCACCAACCACCCGTGTTCTGAACTGTCCCCGATGTGTGCACCGACCACTGGTGTCCTGAACTGTCCCCGTTGTGCGCACAGACCACCTGGGTTAGGCACTGCCCTAGTACACGCCTAGACTACCCTTACTTGAACCGCCCCATGGCATGCCCAGAGTATAGCTACCTGTGGTGCCCCTGAGTGCTTGAGCCATCGCTACCCGTTGAGTCCCCGTGAACCAATGTCCCTAGAAAGCTGGGTGGGAGCTGCGCTGAGGCCAGACTCCACAGCTAGAGTCCCGTTGAGTTCCCGAGACCCCTGCCCAGGGGTAGGTTGCCGCCTGTTGCCCGAGGCCCCTGCCCAGTGGTAGATTGCCACCTGCTGCCTGAGGCCTCTGCCCAGTGGTAGGTTGCCACCTGTTGCCCAAGACCCCTGCCCAGGGGTAGGTTGCTGCCTGTTGCCCGAGACCCCTGCCCAGGGGTAGATTGCTGCCTGTTGCCCGAGTCTCCAATCCACTGTCCAGTCATGGAGGGAGCTCGCTGAGGCCCCAAGCCTAGGGGGGAGATTGCCTGCCTGTCGCTGAAGACCCCCTGTGCCTGGAATGGTCCCTGGTTTGCGCACACATCACCCTCCATTCCATTTCCCCATTGAGTGTCTGTCATTTTGTTGCTTCAATAAAGCTTTGTGTGTCCCCCATCTTCTCCGTATGCTCTGTCCTGCCTACGCTTCCATTACAGCCACACTAGGGGACTCCATTAAACAAATATATGCAATCAAGCAAAGAACTGCAGGACCTGAAAAAAAAAAAAGGTGCTGTTTTAGATGCCCTGGGAAAAGATACATACTGTAGCCTAATGAATCTCAATCAGCTAAAAGAGAGACAATGAAAGACAAAACAAAACAAACAAAAACAGATCCAGTGAAGCCTTTGTTGCAACAAAGCCTTCTGAATTGATTAGGTCAAAGGTATGTATGCTCTGCATTATCAATAGATCAAAGTATCTTCTGACTTGAAACCCTGAACTTGTCAGAGATGTGGCGAACAGAATGCATTAAGAGGAGGTACATGACCAGCTGATTGTGTTAAGAAATCTATACCCTCTTCCAAGATGGCTCGCTTGTTTCAGATCTTGCACTACTGACACAAAAAGAAAGTGATGAATCCAATCACACGGATTCTGCTAAAATTCAGTATAGATGAGGAATCTCTCACAAACTCAGATCAAAAACCTTAAAGAAGGATGTTAAAGTCAACAGGGCTCCTACCAGACCCCTTCCCTAACAATGGACCATATCCCCACAATTTGCATTATCCTGCATGGAACAAAAATCTTAAAGTTTTTACCTTAGTCATCCTGACCACCCACCCAAAAATTATCTCTTGCATACACTATTTATGAAAACGCTTTATCACATGTAACTACATTTGCCCATTAGTCCATATGCCAATGCATTTCAAAGTTTTACACTCACAATCCCAACAGGCTTCTCAGTGTATAGACTTGTTCATCATCATATCCACTGGTACTGCATTTTACAAGGCTCTATCCAACTATCTCCAGCCCTCAATGGGATACTTACCTCTTGTTACTGGGGATTAAAGCCTTCTTGCCACAACAAACTTTTTTCTCCTTTATATAACCACATATAACCATACTGCTGGGATCTGACCTATTGATACACACTTCACTATTCAGAATGATTAACACTATATGTTTATTATATATTGGCATGGTATATGTAAACAGTACACACATATACACACACAAATATATACAGTGTGTGTGTATAATCACTGTTTTTGGTAGAAATGATATTTATACATGGCAAATAATTTACTAGCAGGTGTAGTAGAGTAATAGAAATCCAACAGACCCAACAGTCATGACATGCATGCTGCTGATTCTGTGTAATTGAATCACTAATTGAAAGGGGCATGTTCAAAATAATAGCAGTGTGGCGTTCTATTAGTGAGGTCATTCATTCTTTGAAAAACAGGTGGCAATTATTGCCCTTATTTAAGGAAGGAAGGCAGCAAATGTTGTACATGCTGGTTACAGTGCATTTCTCTCTGAAAGTCTGAGGAAAATGGGTCGTTCCAGACATTGTTCAGAAGAACAGCGTACCTTGATTAAAAAGTTGATTGGAGAGGGGAAAACGTATAAAGAAGTGCAGAAAATGATAGGCTACTCAGCTAAAATGATCGCAAATGCTTTAAAATGGCAACCAAAACCTGAAAGACGTGGAAGAAAGCGAAAAACTACCATTCAAATGGATAGAAGAATAGCCAAAATGGCAAGGACTCAGTCAACAATCAGCTCCTGGAACATCAAAGAAGGTCTAAAGTTACCTGTGAGTACTGTTACAATTAGAAGACGCCTATGTGAAGCAAGCTATCTGCAAGAAGCCCCCGCAAAGTACCACTGTTGAAAAAAAGACGTGCTGAAGAGATTACAATTTGCCAAAGAGCACATTGACTGGCCTAAAGAGAAATGGCGCAACATTTTGTGGACTGATGAAAGTAAGATTGTTCTTTTTGGGTCTAGTGGCCGGAGACAGTTTGTCAGACGACCCCCAAACACTGAATTCAAGCCACAGTACACTGTGAAGACAGTGAAGCATGGTTGCGCAAGCATCATGATATGGGGATGTTTCTCATACTACGGTGTTGGGCCTATTTATCGCATACCAGGGATCATGGATCAGTTTGAATACATCAGAAATTCAGAATACTTGAAGAGGTTATGCTGAAGAGGAAATGCCCTTGAAATGGATGTTCCAACAAGACAACGACCCCAAACACACCAGTAACCGTGCAACATCTTGGTTCCAGACCAACAAGATTGACGTTATGGAGTGGCCAGCCCAATCCTCGGATCTTAATCCAATAGAAAACTTGTGGGGTGACATCAAAAATGCCGTTTCTGAGGCAAAACCAAGAAATAGAGAAGAACTGTGGAATGTAGTCCAATCATCCTGGGCTGGAATACCTGTTCACAGGTGCCAGAAGTTGGTTGACTCCATGCAACACAGATGTACAGCAGTTCTCAGAAACAGTGCTTATACAACTAAATATTAATTAAGTGATTCAAAGGAAAGTAAAATCTTCAAACATTTTTCAGTTTATATAGTGAATGTTTGAGTTTGTAAAGAAGAATACAAACACTGCTATTTTTTTGAACAGTCTAATATTCACTTTTCTTCAATTTTTTTTAGAGGAACAACACAACTTTGATATATTTTTTCTTCATATTTTGATTTGGAATAGAATGTGTAGTTTTCCCAATGCATTTGTGTGTATGGAAATAAACGCTATTAGAAGGATTTTGAGCTTTATTCACTTTTTTCAACACACTGCTATTATTTTGAACACAACTGTAGCTCCACTGCATTTTACACTCCTTGCCTCAGCATTCTGCCTGTATCTGCATGCAGCCAACTTGTAAGTTACTCAGTACCTAGCCATTCCAGCTCCTGACTTGTACACCTGTCACGACTCCATTCTAAATTACCATTTACCTTGATCTTACTGTTACATACAGTTTGTATATAAGAGGGGTATACGAGCACTAGAAATTAAGTGGATGATGAGCAGCTAGCATAAAGGTATAACCTCTGAACCTTTGGTATAAAATCTATCAAAAAATGCAGCGCTATATTTAGAAATTTTTTTTTTTATATATATATATAAATAACCAATTAATGTGACATATATACATATAAATGCGCTGTGGAGCGCTGTGGTAATGGCGAGTGTGAAACGTCTAAGAAAGTGATGTTTTTAAGTGCAATAAGCGACCTGTAATAAAATAAAATGTCAAATCACACACAATAATAATATAACGTCCAATGATCCAACATAGGTGAAAACCGTGTCTTCTGTGACTGTGAATGAGTAAGTATTGCACTAACCAGATAGCGCAAATGTATGCGCCTTTGAGTTGTCAGACCACTCCTGGTCATCTGGATCTGGAAAGGCAAAGCTCATCTGGCAAACCAGCAGCAGGACAGGTGATTAGCGTATCATCTCTCTCCAGGTGACATTCATCATCCATCCAGCAGGGGGTCATAATCCAGGTAACAAAGATGTTCAGCCATCCAGTAAGGAAACCATCACAGTGACAGGTATGTGGCACCAAATAAGGGGATCCACCTTGAAAGGGGGGGCTCATAATAAAATGAGCCCGGACAAAGATCTTGATAGTTCAGTATTTTTAATTTATTAATGAATCCACAAAAGGTAATACACTCACAGCATATACAGTAGTAAGGATAGCTGCCAGCCTCCACGTGGCCCGAGCGGCGTGACGTCACCGGCTAGCCTCCACCCTAACGCGTTTTGTGCTACGAGCATGTTATCAAAGGGGCTCCTAGATTGTAAGCTCCAAGGAGCAGGGCCCTCGAACCCCTCGTGTATTGTACTGTATTGTTACTGTACTGTCTCGTGTACTGTCTCCCATTATAATGTACAATGCTGAGCAAACTGTTGGAGCTATATAAATACTGTATAATAATAATAATAGTAAGAGGCATGATGAGTTTTTTGGAGGTTGTAATTTTTTGCTAAATTTTTTTTAAAAACGTAGAACGTTTTTTTTCTACATATTGTCACCAGTCCCGTACAGCGTTATTATATAACTGGTGTGGCGGTGATCAGAGACACTGACTGGTGACAGTATATAAAAAAAAAAAAAATAATAATTTAATTTGTATATTTTTTCAAATGTTTCTATTTTTTTTTTTTTTTATTACATTATTTTTTCTTTTGTTCAACACACTGTGACCAAAACAATACAATGTTACCATAGTAACAATGAACTACTCTGGGCAAGTGATCAGGATTTTTTTTTTTTTAACACATTATGATTGCTAATACCAACGTATTTCATTGATATTTGCTATCATTGTTACTGAATGAAACTGATTCATTCAGTCTTTTGTTGTGATTAGCTGTGATTGGGCAATGCTCATCACATAATACCGATGGGTTGTGATTGGCCCTCTCTGTATCATGTGACTGCTTTGACCAGTCACAGCTAACATAATTGTATACAATGGATGGCATGAAAAAAGCCATCCATTGTATACAATTGATATGTGATTTGCTGTGATTGGTCACAGCGGTCACAAGACACTGGCAACGGGCCGGTGTAGTAATATGTCATTGGCTGTGTCCCGTGGACACAGCAGGTGACAGATCATGCCGCTGCGTAGCCCCGCAGCCGTGTGAGCGGCTCATTTAGATAGGACATCATATGACGCCCAGTCACAACAAGGAGTGTCCCGCCCGGCCCTCAATCTGCTATAGGCCAGGCAGGAAGGTGTTAATTGATAGTGACCAAACACACTGTCTACATATTCCCTTGACCAATGTGCACGAACCCTTTTCAGTATTAGCTGTTGATAGCTCTTCTTTGTCCATGGTCCTGTTCACCTTGGGCACTGTGCTTATTACTCTGACCATTGGGGAATTTCATAGGGAGACAATCAGCCTCTACTTCATA